ATCCAAACTGGTGCCAGTTTACATTGGCGCTATTCTGGACTTTGCCCTCTCTCTCGCAACCATCGGCCGTTATGGGCTAAAACGGCCAGATGCGAATTGGGCATAAACTAGCCGAAAATTGAACGGGTTCTCCTAAACAAGCAATTGCCCTACTGGCTTTTGAAAAAAGTGCTTTCAAATACTTTGAAGCATTTTGCGATGAATGCAAGGGAATTTTGATAGAAAATAACGTGGGGTTCGCCCAAAACCGTTTAAACTAGTTTCTTGGCAATCATTTTTTCATCATCCAGTGGCGCTGTTTTAACCTCCAACCAATGGCTCTTTTTATTGCAAAGTCATCAATTTTCAGGAAATGTCGACCCGAGCTTTATTGCCTTTGCGCGCTAATGATCTTTTCCCAATCCTTCCTGATGATGTTTGATTCCTAGCAGATTTACTGATCTTTGCCTCACAAAATTCCGTAACGGGCATGTTCTCAGCTCCTTTATATTCAGGCAAATAATTTTTTTAGCTTGAAACAAGCTTTATTAAGTTCCCTCAATCCCAAAAGCTAAAAAACGTCCAAATCACCTCTAAAAAGCCCGTTTTACGGGCGCCTTAAACGTTTTTCGATCATATTCCAATGAACAAGTTGAACAAGAAACAGTTGCAAACGCGTGTTTGCCGAAATGTTAGGTTTAGGGCTCGCAACATCGGTAGTTGAAATCGCCAATAGTTTGGGCAAAATAACTGTGATAGTGGAAAATCGGTAGAAACAGTCCTGAGCAAGCAACGGGCAATTAAAAGACGAAAAATAAAGCGAGCTGAAAGGCACTCAGAGACCCATTCGTAGTGTTCTTTGGAGAGCTAACAAAGTTCGAAGCGGACAAATGAATCGCCACAGTGTAAAGCAAAATCAATTAGGGAGTGTGCATGGATTGCGTGCCATCCAGCCTTTGTGTAGCGTAATCCGGTTAGAGAAATCGAATCACCAACTCGTTACCGGAACGATCGGTCAATAATTTCGGCTACACTTAAGAACTTGAGGGGTTGCAGAATGCCAGAATGCCGCATCACAAATCGCTTGAGTTCCGTGCATTTTTCCTTCTCCCGGATGCTGTTGGATTTGCATGCAGGAACCCAGTTTGAGCGTGCCTAATAAAACCGGCAGTAAAACGCTAAACCGTGCAGCAAACTCGTTAAACCAAATAGGAAACAGTTAAAGCTCGATGGAAAATGGGCAAACTTCTAACTGGAGCAGTTCCTCCAGTCGCGTTCGGGATTTTCTGGCTAAAATCGAAATTAAAAACGCGCTCTGTTGTTCCAGCCCTAGTAAATGGCGTTTTACGACCAGAAAGGGGGGCGGAATGGGGCTGGAAAGGGCACTGATGCTAATAGAGCCTCTTTGGCCTCTCCGGGTTAAATACAGTTGCGAAAAATGCAAATCTCGAATCATAACTAAAAGCACATTCAAGATGGCAAGCAATTTTCCTAATACCATCACAGGGGTTGCGATCTGCAGCGAAAAATTGCTTGGATAACCTCACAATCAGTGGCGCGCTCATCGAAAGTTGTTCTTTGGAACAAAAGGATGAAAAACCAAAGTTGAACAGTCAAACATTAAATTTTCACGTCGGTTAAATGTTTGTCATCCTTTGGAGGCTCTTGACCCTACAGTTGCATAAAAATGGCCAAAATCCGTGATTTTTCGCGGCTTGGTAAATGGAGGTTTTGCTCCTCCAAGTCCATTTTGAGACTTTGTCTTCTATTTCTCCATTTAAAGACGAAACGAGTTCGAGCTGGCAATTTTCTCCCCATCCAGTCGATTTGCAGCAAAACGCATCGCTCCACGCCGCTGTTTCCGCAATTCTTTTCGTCGTCCAAAACGGATCTCCGTCCCTCGATGTTCTTTTCCGCCAACGAAAGAGACCAACTTAAGTGGTTTTACTTTTTTTTATTGTACTTTGACTGGCACTAATCATTTTCCGGGACCTTTTCCCAGTGACAGTATATCTCCAATTTAATAGCGTCGGAGATGGCATCGCTCGCTCCTTGTCTGGAACAGGCGTCGGCTGCGATCCAGAGAAGGAGGCAGGCAAAGGACAGGGGCTTTGTCGGACTCAAAGAACGTATTTTTCCAAATCCCTTTAGGATGAGGCGGGCAGGAGGCACATCAGCTCTTCCATTTTCCCCATCTGCTTTCCATGGCCCGTTCTTGTGAACCATCGGCATTTTGGTACATTTTTTTAATTAAACGGCGCTTTGACTGATTGGGGATTTCTTTGAAGAAGTTTGGACTGAGTCGAGTCAAAGTCTACTACCAAATTTGCAGGCTCTTTTGCAAATTTATGTCAAAGTTTAACATGCTTAAACATTTGCGAACTCCAGTCTCGAACCACGAAAAATGTCGCGATTTAAAAAATTCTAGAAAATATCCTGATGGTGACGGAAAATCGAAACTTTTGCCACTTGTAGGCGGGACCTTTCCTCATAAAACGCTTCCGACATTGAGTTTTTAGCTCCAGAA